GGGGGGGCCCGAGTAGAGGGGTACTATAGGGAGTTATAGTGCCAAGATAACAACTTTTCAACAATCAGGACTAATAAGTGAATTTATTTTGATGTTTTTGTTTAGTTGCCCTAGTTGTGTTATTATACTCAGTTTTAGATTGGTTTGAGATCCTACATGGGTTCCACTGGTTGCAATTCTTTATTCCTTAATGCCTCTCAGTTGATCAAAGTTCCTAAGCTGCCTTCTTAGGAGCTTACATTAGTTCTTCAGAGATAAGCCTGCAGTGCAAGGCCAGCTCATAACCATATCAACCATAAGTTAAGCCTTGCATTGCTGAGCTTAGATCTAGCAGACAGCTTCCATTTGACCTGGAGGCTGCATTAGAGCCATGGAGCAGTACCAAGCAGACCCCTAGGTAAGTCAAACCGTCCATGGTGGAGTTCCAGTTTTATAAAAATGTGGAAGGGACAAAGTGCCCCCCCCCCTTGTCCCCACCCATGGGGCGCTATATTTAAATGAATGTGGGGGACTTAGTGTCTTTCCCATGCCCCAATCCATGATCAACTAGATAGTCTATAGTTGATTAATGCAAATGGTCTTGGTTATCCCCACCTTTGAGATCTCTTTCATATCTAACAAATAAAATATTGATGGATTACATTTACATCACTGAATTATTGGTGGAAATAGTGGGGCCAATTAATTGGGAAAGGCAAGTGACCCTCCAAATGTGGGACCAGATGTCTGAGGTAAAACATCAAATAGAGAATTTGAATAACAGATAGAGGAAATAAGGGACAGAGAGCACGAGAAGATACCTGGAGAGTTCTGGAAGGTAGATCAGGGCTGGTGCTTCCATAAGTCGGCACAGGTAACTTTAGGGTGCACAAAAATCTGAACTCCCAGCCACTGGCCAATGGCTCAAATGCCTGGAGACTCACTTCACTCTCCCTGGTCCACTCCACAAATTGAGTTTGCTGGCCTTTCCTGATGATGTCAGGAGGACATGACTTAGGCCTCCCTTTCTCCATACTTGCCATCGGTCCTGACTACTCCAGCATGGCAACGGAATCTACGGCCACTCTAAAAATATAGGGTACGACTTTCACTGCACTTCCCCTCCTCCTGCCAGCACTTTCCTATTTCCATGTCTCTCCAGGCTCGTTGTTTTACTCTATCCCCCTAAGTCCCTGTCACCCTAGTCCTGTTGTGTCACTCTGTTGCCTTAATGTCCCGTCCCACTAGCCCAGTGTCACTCTATTGGAGCGTTACTTTAATAAAACATTATGGTCCCTCCATACATGTAGAATTGCTAATTTGGAATTCTAGGATACTTTTTAAAGAAGGTTTGAAATATGCCCAAATCCAACAGATGGCACTGCACTTTTATTAGTGTGACAGGGCGGGTGCTCAGACTCAATAACTGAAAGAACCATAACCACTATAGCTTGCTGCACTGGCTATGGCACCAGGAGTGCTCAAATGTCCACCTATTGTGAGTAATCAAACAGTTTTTAAATAGTGTGCATGCATTTTTCTTGCATTTATTGGGGGTCTATCTTAAAAGAGCTTCCTATGAACTGCAGCATTTGCAATCCTCCTCCTCATTTTCCCCAGAAGAGACTAACAGTTTATTCACAGGGAATACTTTTGATGGAGTATAAATTCCCCTCCTTTACATATCAAGAGTCAGATAGTCTGAACAAGTGTGTTATTGAGAGATATTTAAAGATTTGGAAGATTTGGAACATACATATGAGCTGGAAAATGATTCTTCATATAATTAAAGTGTGTGTGTCAGACAAATGAACAACTCTTCCAAAAATTAAGGCAACAAATAGGACACACAGGACCATCACACATATAAATTAATCAGTCACAACATTAAAAGCACCTGTCAAATATTGTGTAGGTTCCCCTTCATGCAGTGGCGTACACATGACCCATGGGGCCCCGGTGCGAAAATTGATCCGTGGGCCCCCCCGGCGCACGGGCCGGGCCGCAACACATGGCGGTGGGCACCTGGTCGCAGGGGTTACAGGGCTGCGACCGCGGTATGTACGCCAGTGCATGCAGATGCACACACACTTAAAGGACCACTCTAGGCACCCAGACCACTTCATCTTAATGAAGTGGTCTGGGTGCCAGGTCCAGCTAGGGTTAACCCATTTTTTCATTAACATAGCAGTTTCAGAGAAACTGCTATGTTTATGAATGGGTTAAGCCTTCCCCTATTTCCTCTAGCGGCTGTCCTATTTCCTCTAGCGGCTGTGATTTTCACAGTGAGAGCACGCCAGCGTCCATAGGAAAGCATTACGACGGGGAGGAGAAGAGGAGGATCGGAGGAGGAGAGCTCTCCGCCCAGCACTGGAAAAAGGTAAGTTTTACCCCTTTTCCCCTTTCCAGAGCCGGGCGGGAGGGGGTCAGGAAAACTTTCCTATGGGCGGTTTGAATGCGTGCGCGGTCTCATTCGGAGCGGAGAGGCTGAGGGATCCCCAGCGCCAAGAGAGTCCGGCGCTGGAGAAAGGTAAGTGCTGAAGACACACACACACTCTCACTTACAGACGCATACACACTAGCTAACAGAGACACACTCAGCGACAGACATACATACACACTCACACACACACACACACTTACAAAACATACACTCTCATTGACAAACACACACTCACTAACAGACATCAAACAGACTCACTAAGACACACACACTAACACTAACACTCACTCTAACACTAACAATCACACTAACACTCACACTAACACTCACACTCACAGTAACACTCACAGTAACACTCACACTCACACTCACTCTAACACTCACACTCACTCTAACACTTACTCTAACACTCACTCAAACACTAACACTCACTCAAACACTCACACACACTCAAACACTCACACACACACACTCAAACACTAACACTCACTCTAACACTAACACTCACTCTAACACTAACACTCACTCAAAAACTCACACATGTTTTTTTTAATATAATCCCCCCAGCCTCCTTACCTTTTGGAGTGCTGGGGGGATTATTCCCTGGGGTCCAGTGGTGCTGCTGCTGGGCTCCTGGGCGGGTGGCCGGTCGGGCAGGCAGGCGGGCGGGCGAGGGAGCACTCAGTGCTTCCTCTTCAGCTCCCTCGCGCGCCGCGTAGGGATGCCGGCACCGGAAGATGACGTCATCTTCAGGCTCCAGCATCAGTGCGGTGCGCGAGGGAGCTGAAGAGGAAGCACTGAGTGCTCCCTCGCGCGCCCGCCTGCCTGCCCGACCGGCCACCCGCCCAGGAGTGTGTGTGTGACAGCAGGGCCAGCCTCAGGGGGCCCTGAGGTGGCCGGCTCCTGGGCCCCCCAGGGGAAGAGGCTGGCCCTGTGGATACATACCGGGTCGCAGGGGCGGCCGGGCCCCCTGGTGGGCCCGGCCCGGTCGCAGCCGCGACCCCTGCGACCCTGGTATGTACGCCACTGCCTTCATGCTTCCAGAACAGCTAGCATGGACTCCACAAGACCTCTGAACAAGTTCTAGTATCTGGTACCAGGACATTAGCAGACATTAGAAGCAGGTCCTGCAAGTTGTGAGGTGAGGCCTTCATGGATCGGATTTGTTGTTCCAGGACATCCCACAGATGCTCAATCTAACTGAAATCTTATGAATTTGGAGGCCAATGCAACACCATGAACGCTTTGTCATGTTCCTCAAATCATTCCTAAACAAAAAAATTATTTTTCAAATTCTTTATTTTTGCACTGATAGAAAATGCAGCATCTCGACAATGTAAGGCTTGTGCAAAAGCCACTTTATAATACATGTATTTTTTAAAATACAGAAAGGAAGGTCATATTGTTAAGGCATGTATTACTTCATACAATGTTCGATTGCTTGTTTGCATTGCATCAGAGTTTTTCTTTTTTTAATCTTTTTTTTTTTTTTAATCTTTTTTTTTTCAGAATAATCAGTTGGAGAGGCACCAACAAATATTTACAATGTACAGTAAGCGGGTGGTGAAACCCAGTGTGGTCTGTGACATGTCATGCGGATACCTGTGTAGTTCCACACTTGACCAACTAATAGCTAATGGAGTCGGCTGCAGGTTTCAGCCGGTTAGTGCCAAACACACAATGAAGCATACAGTGCTAGCAGGCTCCAACCAATGATCAGTATTATAGCATGTACATAAAAATAACAACATAAACAAAAACAAAAATGAACCCATGATGCGGGGAAACGTTTCTTATACTTCCGAGTGTCCCCCGTAGCCTCAGTGGGTCCCCGTGCCAGGTTGGCCTTCTACCTCCTCTATGTATTGTTCCCACAGGTCCCAGACCTTATTGAACTTTTTAGCAGTGTGTTGCGGACCATGGAGGTTAGTTTATCCATAAGATAATTGTCTTTGAGTTTGGTGATTACCAAGGCCAGAGGGGGTACCTACGTACATGACCTTTTCTGGGCTATGGTATATCATATTCAGTAATTGCTGCTCGGGTCAGGTAAGGCCCTCAGTTGGTTTGGATAGTAGGCAGGCTCAGGGGTCCGATGGTAGTTGTCTTTGCATTATTTTAGAGCTTAGCTGTATAATTTTGGTCCAGTAGGCCTGTATGGAGGGGCAGAGCCACCACATATGGATATAAGTCCCTCTTGTATCCTGGTTTTGTGCTGCCCTAGGCATGACAAAACTCAGACGCCCCCTCCCCGCACCACCCCACCCTTCCCTCCTGCCCGCCTTCTAAATACACACATTCACTAACAGACACACACATAGTAACACACTCCCTAACAGACACACACACACATACAGACAGACTAACACACACACACTAACAGACACACACACACATACTAACAGATACACACACACACTAACAGACACACACACACACACACACACTAACAGACACACACTCTCTAACAGACACACACACACTAACACACACTCTAACAGACACACACTCTAACAGAGTGTGTAGACACACACTCTAACAGAGTGTGTGTGTGTGTGTGAGAGTGTCTGTTAGAGTGTGTGTGTCTGTTAGAGTGTGTGTGTGTGTGTGTGTGTGTGTCTAACAGACACACACAAACACACTCTAACAGACACACACACACACTAACACACACACAACCACTCACTAACACACACACCAACACACACAAACTAACACACATTAACAAACACACACTAACAGACACACTCACACACTAACAGACACACACTCACTCACTAACACACACACTAACACACACCGTAGCAGACACACACACACACTCACTAACACACACACGCACTCACAGACACACACACACTCAATAAGTCGGCCTCCCATTGGTCTGTGTATGGAAGTTTGCCCCACTCATTGGATTCTACGCTAAGGCGGTTATACAGTAAAGATATTAGCCCCCTGGGATGCTGCTCTTGAAAGCACATTCTCTCAAACCATGTAAGTTGCAGGGAGGCAGCTTCCTTTTTGGCAGCGAAGTCGCGTATCTGGATATATCGGAAGTAATCTTTAGTGGTCAGTTGTGAGAGTTCGTTAAGTCTCTCGTATGTGACTGTTTGTTTGTCTATGTATAAGTGTACATATCGTTGAAGGCGCGTGTGTTCAATATCCCTGAAGTTCCTGGCTCTCATTCCTGGTGGGAAATCCCTGTTGCTAAAGTGTCATTGTGGAGGGGAATTTGCTAAGGGAGAATTTCGTTGCAGTCTGGTCCCAGATTCTAATTGAGTTGAGTATCGTGGGAAAGGTGGTTTTTATGAACACCCTACAGGGAGTGCAGAATTATTAGGCAAATTAGTATTTTGACCACATCATCCTCTTTATGCATGTTGTCTTACTCCAAGCTGTATAGGCTCGAAAGCCTACTACCAATTAAGCATATTAGGTGATGTGCATCTCTGTAATGAGAAGGGGTGTGGTCTAATGACATCAACACCCTATATCAGGTGTGCATAATTATTAGGCAACTTCCTTTCCTTTGGCAAAATGGGTCAAAAGAAGGACTTGACAGGCTCAGAAAAGTCAAAAATAGTGAGATATCTTGCAGAGGGATGCAGCACTCTTAAAATTGCAAAGCTTCTGAAGCGTGATCATCGAACAATCAAGCGTTTCATTCAAAATAGTCAACAGGGTCGCAAGAAGCGTGTGGAAAAACCAAGGCGCAAAATAACTGCCCATGAACTGAGAAAAGTCAAGCGTGCAGCTGCCACGATGCCACTTGCCACCAGTTTGGCCACATTTCAGAGCTGCAACATCACTGGAGTGCCCAAAAGCACAAGGTGTGCAATACTCAGAGACATGGCCAAGGTAAGAAAGGCTGAAAGACGACCACCACTGAACAAGACACACAAGCTGAAACGTCAAGACTGAGCCAAGAAATATCTCAAGACTGATTTTTCTAAGGTTTTATGGACTGATGAAATGAGAGTGAGTCTTGATGGGCCAGATGGATGGGCCCGTGGCTGGATTGGTAAAGGGCAGAGAGCTCCAGTCCGACTCAGACGCCAGCAAGGTGGAGGTGGAGTACTGGTTTGGGCTGGTATCATCAAAGATGAGCTTGTGGGGCCTTTTCGGGTTGAGGATGGAGTCAAGCTCAACTCCCAGTCCTACTGCCAGTTCCTGGAAGACACCTTCTTCAAGCAGTGGTACAGGAAGAAGTCTGCATCCTTCAAGAAAAACATGATTTTCATGCAGGACAATGCTCCATCACACGCGTCCAAGTACTCCACAGCGTGGCTGGCAAGAAAGGGTATAAAAGAAGAAAATCTAATGACATGGCCTCCTTGTTCACCTGATCTGAACCCCATTGAGAACCTGTGGTCCATCATCAAATGTGAGATTTACAAGGAGGGAAAACAGTACACCTCTCTGAACAGTGTCTGGGAGGCTGTGGTTGCTGCTGCACGCAATGTTGATGGTGAACAGATCAAAACACTGACAGAATCCATGGATGGCAGGCTTTTGAGTGTCCTTGCAAAGAAAGGTGGCTATATTGGTCACTGATTTGTTTTTGTTTTGTTTTTGAATGTCAGAAATGTATATTTGTGAATGTTGAGATGTTATATTGGTTTCACTGGTAATAATAAATAATTGAAATGGGTATATATTTGTTTTTTGTTAAGTTGCCTAATAATTATGCACAGTAATAGTCACCTGCACACACAGATATCCCCCTAACATAGCTATAACTAAAAACAAACTAAAAACTACTTCCAAAAATATTCAGCTTTGATATTAATGAGTTTTTTGGGTTCATTGAGAACATGGTTGTTGTTCAATAATAAAATTAATCCTCAAAAATACAACTTGCCTAATAATTCTGCACTCCCTGTATAGTCCCTTCGGTAGCCAAATAAAAAATTGGGGAGGATCTTGCCCCATGAGTAAGGATTCGTGCCTATATTCAATTTGAGCTGCTTGTGCAGCTAGGTAGTTACAGATATAGGTTGGGCAACCCCAGTCCCCCTCAATCATTGGGTCGGTATATAAATTAAGCGCAATTCTAGGGCGTTTCTTTTGCCATTTGAACATATTTATTGTTCTTTGAAGGTTTGCTAGGTCCCCTCTCATGACGGGCACAGGCAGTATTTTAAATAGAAACAACAAGGTTAAATATTTTAAATAGAAACAACAAGTCTGGGGAGGATGTTCTTTTTTATAGAGTGGAGTCTCCCCATCCATGAGATAGGCTTGTCCGTCCAGTACTCCAGGTCCCTTATGAGGGCGCGGAACATAGGAGGATAGTTTTGCTTATATAGCTGAGAGTTCTTAGCTGGGATTCTAATTCCAAGATAGGGAATGCTGTCTGCAGTTATGTGCAATTTGTATTTGTAATGGATCAGTGCCGTGTCCAGGGCTGCAAGGTGAAACTGCATGGCCATATATTTCATGAGGTTTACTTTATAGCCCAATAGAGTACTAACAGGCCAGTCAGTTGTTCCAAAAAGGTCAGGGGGTCCGACAGAGTGAGTAGAACGTCGTCTGCGTATGCAGAGGTTTTAAATTGTCTCCCGGCTAAGGTGACTCCCTGTATGTGCAGATGCTGTCAATACCTTGCAGTAATGGTTCCAGTGAGAGGGCAAACAGCAGTGGGGAAAGGGGACACCCCTGTCTCGTCCCATTGTGAAGTGGAAAAGGGGTATATCTGGCCCCTGTGATCAATGTCTGGGCTCTCAGAGTGGAGTAAAGAGCTCAAATCGCCACAACATAAGGCTCAGGGAAGCCCCATGCCCGCAACAGGTTAAAAAGGTATGGCCATTCAACCCTGTCGAAGGCCTTCTCCGCATCCAGGGACAGGGCCAGAGAGGGCCTTCCAGAGTCCTGCATGTACCATGCGAGCACTGTCCCCCTGCACGTATTTTCATAGAGCTGTCTGCCCAGTATGAAACCCACCTGGTCACCTCCGGTAAAGTCACTCCGGACAGGAAGGACTGGAAATCTGTCTGTTCCTGCGAGGGAGAACTGTGCGTGTATCGGGAGTGCCCGTACAGCTCTGAGTAGTATTGAGTGAACACCTCATTTATTTTGTCTGCGGTTGAGACTAAGCTACCACTTCGAGTGCGGATCTTAAGGATGTGTTTGAAATCGCCTCTTGGGTGTAGGGTCCCGGCTAGGAAAGAATCCATCTTATTGGATTTTTCATAAAACACGCACCTAGACCACTGAATTTTTTTGCTCCTGTCAACTGCCGGACATGGCATAGCGTTGAAGTCTCCCCCCACCATCGTCACTCCCCCCCCCCTTGTCCGAACTAACTAGTGTAATCAGGTTATCCCTGTATTGGGGGTCAAGGTCGTTGGCACATAGACATTAATGATAGGGAACTTAGTGTTTTATAAGGACCCCGGTACAGATATGTATAGTCCCTCCGGGTCTAACTGTGACCCCGTCACGAGAAAGGGACAGCGTTTGTGTATGAGGATTGCCTATCCTGTCGGCCATCTTGTGAGGCCTGTAGCGGGTGTGGTGCCACCATCATCTCCAGCATGCTGGGATGTGATTCCTGACGGTGACCATGCTTCTTGCGTGGTTGTTTCGTTCCGGAGCCGGTCCCAGACATTCTTTGGTGGGTTTGGATGCTTTTTGGGTGTTGATGCATATGATGTGTGCTGGATTCTGTGCGGATTGTCAGGAGCTCTTAAATCAAGTGGCCATTCAGGTCGATGGCCAGGCTACGTCCCCCCACTCCTAAATAATTTTTTAAAATGTGATTTATCAGACCAGGCAAACTTCTTCCATTGCTCCATAGTCCAGTTTTGACACTCACATCCTCATTGAAGGCTAATTTGTCAGGCTCATGGGCTTCTGATCTTTCACAGCAAACTGCAATGCATAGTGTGTTCTGACACCTTTCTATTATGGCCTGCATTAAGTTTTTCAACAATTTGAGCTACAGTAGCTCTTCTAAATGATCAGACCAGCCGTGCTAGTCTTCGCTCCACACAAATGAGACTTGGGTGCCCATGACCCTGACACCAGTTGTCCTACCTTGCACCACTTTTGGTAGGTACTAACCACTGAATGAAGGTGGCAGTCACAAAGATACAACGTACCAATTTAGGGAGATATCTGCTTGCCTGCTGAAAGAATAACATTGATAAAAGTCTAAATATGGCCCAACAGCATATCAAATTATGAATATGCAATAGACATGTTTGTATTGAGGGGATGTAGATAAATACAATTGGGTTATCTTCCTACACTGAAGAATTAGTCTCAAAAGTACAGTCACTAGTAATGAAACAGTGAGTGTGGGATATTGCAGTGGGAACCTCCAATTTTGGTGCCTGTGCAGTAAGTAAAAACCTTTTTTCAGTGGAATCCCAAATATATGATTTATATTTAACCTTAACACCCAGCAAAGTAAGTATAATGGTAGTTTATTCAGTCATCCAAAAAGGCGAGCAACCTTTTTACACAATGAAGCCATAAAAACACTTGATGTGTCGAAACGTTGCCTGCCTTTTTGGATGGCTGATTAAACCACCATTACAACTACTTTGCCGAGTACTGAGATTTCATTTCTTTCATACAGTCAGTAGTAATCATACTAATTGTGTAAACCAAACTAAAATGATTAATTGGCCATGTGGCCAGAAGCCAGC